CCTTCAGAGAAGCTAGGAAACAAGGAGGCCCCTAAGACAGACATACATGGTCCCCTGGAGAAGAGGAAAGGGACAAGGGCCTCCTGAACAAATTGGGAGACATAGAGTAAAGGATTACCAGCCCCAAAATTCACACTTCCAGAGAAGCTAGGAAATAAGGTCCCTGAAAGGGACAAGGACCTCCTGAACAAATTGGGAGACATAGAGTAGAGGATTACCAGCCTACAATCCACACCTTCAGAGAAGCTAGGAAACAAGGAGGCCCCTAAGACAGACATACATGGTCCCCCAGAGAAGGGGAAATGGACAAGAACTTCTGAGCAAATTGAGAGCATGGAGGAGGGGAGAGGGAACTAGGAGAATAAGGGGAGAAGAGGTGGGGTGAGGAAGACATGAGAGAGAAGAAAGGTTGAGTCAGGGGAAGAATAGATGATAACAAGTATGGAGATATCATAATAGAGGGAGACATTGTAAGTTTAAAGATAAATCAGGCACTAGTGAAATGTCTGTAGAGCTACAAAGATGGCACCAGCTAACAATCTAAGCAACAGAGGAGAGGCCACCTTAAATGCCTTCCCCTGACAATGAGATTGATGACTGACATACATGCTATCCTTTAACCTTCATCCAGCAGCTGGTGGAAGTAGAAGCAGACACCCACAGCTAACTAATCACTGAACTGAACTGGAATTCAGTTGCTGAGAAGGAGGACTGATGAGCAAAGGGATCCAGACCAGGCTGGTGAAACCCACAGAAACAGCTGACCTGAACAACGGGGAGCTCTTGGTTCCCAGACTGATAGCTGGGAAACCAGCAGGGGACTGATCCAGACCCCATGAACATTGGTGTCAGTGAGGAGACAGACCATGGGGCCTCCTGTAGTAGATCGGTACTTATCCCTAGCATAGGTGTGGACTTTGGGAGCCCATTCCACATAGAGGGACACTCCCTGAGCCAAGACACATGGGGGTGGGGCTAGGCCCTATCCCAAAGGAAATGATAGACTCTGAAGACCCCCTATGGAAGGCCTCACCACCCAGGGGGAGCAGACAGGGTATGTGATAGGTAGGGTTTTTAGTTGGGGGCTGGTAGGGGAGGAGGAGAGGGAGAGGGAACTGGGATTGACATGTAAAACAATCTTGTTTCTAATTCAAATAAAAAATGGAAAAAAATATAAAAAAGAGAAAGGACTTGAGGGAGGGAAAGAATATAGACAAAATATATTTAGATTTAAACACTTTTAAATAATAATAAAAAGTTATCGAGGGAAAAAGAAGAAATTCTTCCACATCTCTCCCAGCAAAAATGTTCCCTGTTAGGAACCAAAATCCAATCAGAAAGAGGTTGGTAACTCTCCTAATGTAAATACCTCTATTTCACTAGTGAGGATGTCTATCCAAGACAGACCTTATTGGAAGGTCAAAGGGTTTACAGCTGAGTAAGAGTGGTTAGAAAACTATCAAGGAACTGCCTGGAGAAAGATTGAGATCACAGCAATCCTGATTTCCTCTCCACTGACAGAAATAAATGAATTTAAAGAGAGCTGGGGAACTGTACCAATAAAACAGATAGAAATAGTGAGTCATTTGAGTAGGTAAGCAAAACACATGAACTGTCTTGTAAGGAAAGGCACTTGCTGCATGAACACAGCCTGGCCTCTCTAGAAAGGAGAATTGTTCAGACCACCGCAAGCAATGGCTAGGCCCTGCTCACGGAAAAGAAGCAGAGATAAGAGGTGACTTACATACCAGGAGAACCGCTTCCACTGAAAATCCTGATTGGAGATCAAAGACCAGAGATGAATAGCTGAGAGAACATTTTCCTCTCTAAGTCACAGAGGATCATAAAATGCTAAAACAAGCCCTTCGGTATTCTCACTTGCCCCTCATACTTCAGAAGAGTAGGAGGAATCCCTAACCTTTCTCTAGACATTATGAGATGTTATGGAAACATACACAACACAGAATCAAGATGACAGGAAGAGAAGGCGCTTCTAAAAGACAAACATTTAGATCTGTTTACCAAGACATTCACAGACAACCTGGTGGTTGAACCAGGCCAGTCTCTGGATGCTGTTTTTGAAAACTGAAACTCAGTGTTTCATAACCATGAACAGGAAAAGAAAAGGAAATAGCTAACTGCTTGAAGAATGAATGGCTACACTGAGACCTAGCCCAGTGAAGGCTATCCACTAGAAACACAGTCCAAACCAGGGACATACTTCCATTGTGGGCAGAAAGGCCACATTCAACGGGAGCGCCCTCAGAAATAGAGGCCTCCACCAGGACACTGCCTAATCTGTAAGCTAAGTATTTAGAATAATTGTCTATATCTCCTCCGTGATGTATGATCGTGGAGCATCCCATGTTGGTTCCTGCTAAACCCATCGTAAAGAAGAGCAATTTTGTTTGTAGAAGACGATGAGTTTAGTTGCATAATTGACAGCACAGCGTTACTGGTTGTCCTTCCCTCTTCTCTTTGTCCCCAGTCTAAAAGGGCTTACAATCATTCAGTCATATCAGGTCAACCACTGAGTTGTTATTTTACTGGGCTGTTTTCCTCTCCGTGTAGAAATCTCCATTTCTGCTCATCCTATTTAGTAAATCCTCAGACTCCATCCCTCTTCTGGGGAGAGACTGATGGCCCAAGACCAGAGTCCTGTTGCTTCTTTCTCCATGGTAGCATTGTTGCCTACCCCTAGTGTAGAGAAATATCAACACCTCCATATAGACAAATGGAACTAGCAGAGATGGGGGAAATGTCCACTTCATTCATCATATCTTAAATGTCTAAGCCATTTCTTACATCAAAAACAATATGACAAAATGTCTGAAGTCAAGAAAGGACTGACATAGTCAAAGGTTTAAGATTCAAAGGCTGTTAATTAAATGTTCCAGCCTATCTAACACCACATCCTCGGTGTTACAGAAGGTCCTAATAAATGGATATGACTTTAGAATAACCAATTAAGGTTCCAATGGGCCCACTCCATCATTTCTAATCATTATACCTTCCATACACATTTCCCTATATATGCCATTACTCAGTTTTAGATTTTGAAGATAGCTTGCTTTATACCATGTACTACTCAGACAGCCAATGACTATTTGGATTTGAAGATCCTATCCTTAGGCCTGGGAAAGTCACCTGGTCTGTTCTCCAATAAGACTTTTTTTGACAGCCATGACTTATTTTGCTCTCCTAAGTTATAATGGACTGGACTCCCCTGGAGACCACCTGATCCAGAGTGTAAATGGCTTTCTCCTATGTGAGTCTACTGAAGGAAATATTTTCCAAGAAAAAGTAATCCCTTCTTAGCCTCCTAGCTGATAAAGACTACAGTGTGCCATAGCAATGAAGGCAACTATGCCAAGAAAAATCACCAATTCAGCCCCCTTTCAAAAGAAAAAAAAAGGAACTAGTGCATCCAGTACCCTTTTAACAAAAGGAACCAGCCCTTTGAAGATGGAAGTTTCTCTTTGGCCTGGTCCCATAGACAGTTAGTCCCAAATAAACACACAAATGCTTGTATTAATTATAAACTGTTTGCCCAATGGCTCAGGCATCTTATTGGCTAGCTCACTCCTAATTATTAACCCATTTTTCATTAATCTGTGTATCTCCATGTTGTCTTGGCTTCCTGGTGATGCCTGGCCCTCTTGTTCCCTCGGCTACATGGCATCTCTCCAGTGACTCCTCTGCCTTTCCTCTTCCCAGAATTCTTCTATTCTGGTAGCCCCGCCTATTCTTAATGCCTGGCTACTAGGCAATTAGAATTTATTCATCAACAAATAAGTAAAACATATATTCACAGAATACAGGAGGACATCCCCCACCATATCCTCTTTTCTGTCTAAATAAGAAGTAAGATTTTAAGATTAATATAGTAAAATTATATATAACAAAACTTATCAAGCAAGATCAATAGTTAACAATATTTAGTCCACTAACATTTGGAAAAATTTAAAGAAAATATTCTATCATCTATCCCATCTTTGTGAGTCTAAAGTTTTGTATATAACTAACCTTTTGTCATATTATAATTACCTGTAGCTCTATGCCTAAGAGTGGAAATCTTGAGATGATTCCCACCCTTCTGAGTTAGCATGTCTACTA